AAAACAATGACAGCATATTTAAAAAAACATAATTTTTTCCTTGTGTTGATTTATGCTAACAAATTTAATTAAACTGTTTTTCTTATAACAAAGTATTTTTGTCTCAAAAATAATATTTTAAGAATTAAAATTTTTAACCCGCCACCTCTTTGTTATACAGCTGCAGTAAATTGATGTTAAAAATATTAAGTTTCTACTCGAATAAGAAGTTTCATTTTAAGAAAACTATTATTCCTGTACATATAAAATTATCTTATGTTTAAAAAAAATATTTTACTTGACATTTTTATAGTAAAAAATGTTATGTAAAATAAAAATTTAAAAACTGCAATAACTATTTGAACAAGGGTGGATTGTCCGCTAGGACAAAGAGAAAAATCCCCCCAGCCGCTGTCAATAGAGCATTGAGGTCTACAATGAACAAAATAATCGGGTTTCTAAAATTAATTTTTGATCTTTGTTTTGCTCATTGGTTCTTTTTTTGAAGGATTGCGAAGGAGCGAACAGAGTCGCCAGAAGTTTAACTACCCTCTGGTTCATTAGCTTTCAGTCAGTATGTGAATTTTAATATATTTACATTATTAATATCTCAACTATATGGTTTACATTTTAAAATAGTATTTACAATTAATTTACAATTTTAAGAACTCCCGAGGTGGTTTATATATAATTCTATATCACCATTTGTACTACTCTTAAGGAAATAGGGTAAGTGTATAAAATTATACGCACAGTTGTTAAATAATTTATAAGTTTAAATTTATTAATTATGATTAAAAATGTGAAAGTTGTAGTCGGAAAAATTTGATAAAATTACCATTTTTATTGTGTTAATTAAACGTTTAATTGTGAAATATACAGTTGAAGTAATACTAAAATTTGCAAAGATATTTTCAATTGCACATGATTCAAATAAGAAACATAATACAAATATACATCTATTCGTTTTAGATAAATAATTTTTTACTGGAATGAGATATATTATTAATAACAATACAATATAGCAGAGCGTACTGGCAAGTTTTTTTTATGCGTCAACGATGAGCATCGAGTAAAAACGATAGCAATCACAATAATAACAACAAAGAGGACGTGTAGTTACCCTCGGCTCACGCAGTTTGGGTATTAGGAAGGTCATGGTTTCTTGTAATAGACGCTGTTACGGTATTTACGGTGTACCAGGTATTTTTGCGTCGGTTACTAGTGTACACTGTTGAATACCGCTGGCACGGGTCCCGCGTCGAGGTCATCCTCCACACACATAATGCTGCGTAGTGTCGTCCTCATGACTTTTCCCCCGCGCCTGCCCTCACTAACTTGGTTCCACCACCAATGTGGCACCTACTCCCCGCCTCACTGTCCACTCGGTCTCGAGTCAGCCGCCACCGTCATAGCCAACGCCGTACGCCACCGCCGCCGCCGTTGTCGGCTCAGTTCAGTTGCGGCGCAATTAGTGTGCACTCGTAGCGTGCGCGAATTTAAGTGTATATGTGTAGTGTGCTATGCATGAGCGTCGTTGATATACCGTCTCGGTGATAATATTTACGTTAAAGGCGAATCGAAGAAAAAACATTTCTTATATTTTTTTGGTCTTTGAGATACGTATAATTTTCTAATTTTTTCGCGTCACACAACTTTTTAAAAGCCGTTTCTTTTGATTGATTTAAGTGTATACCGGCTACTCTTGCCGATTCACGCCATGGATTACGGTTTGGAGCCGCTGCAGAGGGCTCGGTCCAACACGTGGCCGTTACCCAGACCGGATGCCGAGGACGGAATTAATACGCAGTTACCAGAGGATAGCCCACCGTCGCAGTTGATGCCGCCGTCCACATTGCCTTTGGATATCATCGGACCGGCCGGCAACAGTTCATTGCAACCGCCACAACAGCCGTTACAATCGTTGATTGCCGGTCCCGCCGGTGCCGCGGCCAAGAAAACGTCTAGTCGACGAAACGCATGGGGTAACCAGTCGTATGCTGATCTTATTACACAGGCCATCAGTTCGGTACCGGAACAGCGGCTTACCCTATCGCAAATCTACGAGTGGATGGTACAGAACGTGCCGTATTTCAAGGACAAAGGGGACAGCAACAGTTCAGCCGGTTGGAAGGTGAGCTTTATAACTTTTTGCATTTAGAATAAATTTTGCTTGACGCGTTTTAAATTTTTTTTTTTTTTTTGTTTGGTTAACGGTTTTTAACATTTCTGTAACTTTCCTTCACTCTCCACATTTGTTGTCGGTTCGTTATCGTTATAAATAAATTAACTCCGTTACGAGAAAAGGCCAAAAGTTTGAAGTTAAAAAGTAACCTGCTTGCATAAATAATGCTGTAGACACTTGGGTCACTGTCCTTCGTGTGGCGCGTGGATAGTTTTTTATCGAAGTTCCGGACAAAAGACCTAAGACGTGATGACTACTAACTATAAGTTTTATCGAAACAGGAGGAGGTTTGTTTTCTTTTCTTTTTTTTTATTTCAAGGATATCTGACAACCCAAGTCGTTCATTAAAAATTCATCTTTGTGAATTTGGTATCTTTAACGTAAACCAAACATCACCGGCTTATATTTATAAGGCAATTATAACCGTACGTAAGTTTGTCGTTATATTTTATTATAAACATTTGTTTTCATTTCTTCAGTTTATTAAATAACATTATTACAAAATATGCATGTGCCAATTAGTGAATTCAATGACGCCCATTTTTCCGATTAGTACACTTTTTCAATTGATAACATTGTGAGGAGTTTTTTATACCACTGAACAGGAATATTAATTAGACGCATTCACTATGGTTTTCGATTAAAATACGAAGATATACATTTTATACGATCTCATGTAAACTTTTAAAATCGACATATTATTGGACTCGAATTTTTACCCGTGTTCTGAGGTAACCGATTTCAACTAAAAAAATATATATAAATGTATGAAAATACTTCAGCTGAGTTTTAAATATTGACGAAAGCACTATAATTTCGGAACACTGTTTTTAATTTTAAAGTATCATTATGTGTCAACAATTAACAATAATCGTTAAAAAAAGACTGCCTGCTATTTATACATTTAAGTTCGCCGCTCTAGTTTTAGCTAATAAAATTCTAATATTAATTTGTAATTACCACAATAAAATATTGTGTTTTCTCATCGTTAACATTTTTTTTTTTTTTTCGATAAATATTATCATTTGATTTAGTTGCCTGTAATTGCATAAATTGTAATTTACTATAATAAATTTAAATATTTTCGGGGTGGTGAATTAGACGACACTCGAGAGGTTGTTGTCAACGCTTTTTACCGCACTCGCTAAATGACCTCAACCATAACGTGTGTATTGCGCACAGAGGTCATGAGTTCTTCGATCAGATTCACTTGAAACGCACATAATAATTTTATAGATGCTAATTTATGACATTCGTATTGACAATATCGCAAACGAGATGAATGTAAAACGCTTGTGGTCATCGGCTCGGTGTTGTTGTAGTGTATAATCGATGTCAAGTCCAAAAAATGACTCGCCTAAGAATTCCAGTGTGTACAAATAATAATGGCCATCGATATCTTAGGCGAATAGGTGTGTGTTCGCTCTGACACGGCAACACGTAACGTTTAGGGAAAGACGCAGATTATCAGACGGTGTGTGTTCGGTACAAAGAGTATGAGAACGATTGATAAGAACGTTATTTATTAAGACGGCGGCTTCTAATTATGCCAGTGAAATAATATTTCTCGAAAACTACGTAGGCAACGGACGATACCAATTGTATCTAATTATTTCACTAGGTTTTCAATAGATATCCGTGTCAGCACATTCGATAAGATCATAGAGAACTGCAGGTGAAAGGGTCATCTCTTATAAACCGAACACACGGACGCTTATAAATTTTAATATAATTATGAATACCATTGGTTCTCTATTTTATCTGCCTCTCGCTCTCGTCCTGTCTCACTCCCTCCCAAACAATTCATAGACCCGATTATTTATGCGAAATTGTCATCGAGTCTCGTTTAGGGCCCGGCAGAGGGCGTCCTAGTCAAATATTTCTCACACTTTCAACGCTATCGATCATCTCGATCATCGACGGCAAACGCATTGCTGTGGCGTTGGAGGAATTTTATAGTAAGCCAAAGTACAACGCGATAAGCAGAAGATGCGCGTGCGCGTTAGGACGCATTGACATCTGATGTACGTAAGGGCGCCGATTGTAATTGCACGTAATTTTTTATCACAATGCAATAGCCCAGGGAAAAAAATCACCATGCGTATTTAACGAGCCGCGCTCGTCATTTTCCCCGTAGACTCGGCCGATTTTCTTTGCGTATCGGTTCCGCGGGAAAATCTCTGCATTCCTCCGCGACCAACACCTTTATTGTTATGCTGCCAAACTCTGATTTTACCCGAAGTATTATAACAATTGGCGGCGACGAGATGACCTCAAAACGTGCCGTCCGGCCGACGACGGTGTGTGTGGTGTATACTTTGTATATATATATATATATAACCTTCCAAGGTTACTTACGTGCGGCAAAAGCGAGATGCGTTCCACGTACCGCCGGCAATTCGGCGGGTTATTCTGAAGCCATAGATAAACTGGACGTCGATAAGGTTTGAACTCGGTTATTCCTGTGTAGGGTCTACCAGTTCCCAGGTAATGCGTTTCGTTACGATTATTTATAAATTGGAGTAATTAATAATAATTGGGTCGCGGCGGAAGTGGGAGTGTCGGCTGATAGCGAAAACTCGGGTGTCTAGAAAATCCGGTTTTTTCGTCATGGAAACGGTATTGTCGCTGCTGACGCGTGTGGGGCGTCCAAAGACCGAATGGTCTGTATTCTGTGCCCCACTGGACCCCAGCGATGAATAGCGTTCGACCGCAGCGAAACGGCCGAGTCTACGGCGGCTCGTCTATAAATAAAATAGAAATTCTAACGATGTTTCCGTTTAGCCGACGGTTTGGCGACTTTTCTTGGCCCTTAGCGAAACGCCCAAAACTATAGGAAACGTGGTCGCTCGACTGGAATTTCGTCCGTCGCAATCGTCAACATTCATCGCACGAACCGTCCAATCAAAATGTGGTGATCCCTATTGAAAATAATTGTCTGAAACGGTGTTCGTTTCACGAGTACTACACGAGTACAATATATATATATATATATACATTGCATTCAAGGTTAAGTATCGGCAGCGTTATTGTGCGCTTTAATGGACGGTCACGTACCCAAACCGTCACCGTCCCTCGGCTGTCATTCAAAAAATTTCGGGCGACGCACTTCGCGCGCGACCACCTCAAATCGTCAAACTTTCAACGATGTCAACACAATAATAATGTTATTATAATAACGATAAATATATTACATTTTAAGTGCGCATTACTCTGTTTGTAACATGGCGGCGGCGGCGATCACGTACAGCAGCTGGTGGTCGTCTAGTAGTTACATAACAATATTTAAATTATAAATAATAATAATAATAGTTATATATGTATTTGGACCCTGTAGCAGAATAACATTTTACGACAGGTATTTAAATGCGGTGTTAATAACAGTTCATCGAATAAGCTCTCCGGATTATAATTTTTATTTTTAAATGGTGTTACAATCGTTTTTTTTAGCTCTACGTTTTTCCACGGTAACCTAAATACTAATATTCCAATGATTAGTGTTGTTTTAATACTATTATCGTTCCTAAGATTGTTACGGGGCACGTGACGTCATAAATTAATGCAACTACTGTTCAACATCACACATCCTACTCAAGTAAACGAATAAATCAAAACCGTATAAATATTGTTGTCCGAAATGGTTTTTTGCACGTCGAATTCTGTCGATCGCGCGAAGAAAAAATAATAATGACCGGAACTATTTTGTAGCGTTACGCCGAATCCAAATATAATAATTAACTTTTCTTTAACGAGTTTTAATCGATTTTGTTATTAGTGTATAAATAAACATTGTGTACATGATGACAAAAAAAAAAAAAAATGGAATTGTACCAAAGTAATCGCACAAAGGAATTCACAGAGTTATTATCGGGCCAACGTTTGATTACGACAGCCGAGTTACTCGTCGGACGCGAGCACCGCATTGACTGTGTACAGAGTACATTACACTATTGCAGTTGTAGGTCAGATGGGGAAAGAGGCGTACCGTCGCAGTTTGGCGGGCTTTTCACGCGCACTTACTCGTATAGTAATAATTTGCAAAACGAGGAGTATAATAATTTTATTGAACTAGACGTTTTATTGGTATCGTTAAATTTTATGTCGGTGCAGCACACAGGTTATATTTATAGCGTCTTTCCACATAATCACACCGGCACAGTGGCTGAGCGCATAAACGCGGCGGAAATACGGCCGTGTAATCGAGTAACAAAAAAATTGTCCGTCATTATTTTTTTTTAAAAACTATGTAAAACCGAGAAACGCGTGCGAACATCCGAAAGGTCATCGCGTTGCGAACCTATTAGATTTTTCTATTCCAATAACTTTTTGGTCGGACCGAAAGCGGCCAACAACTCGAATGCGCATACAAATCGTTTGTCGAGTAGTCGGTTCCGTCGAGACACTCTCTCTGTCGTTCGATTCGCCCAATACCATAAAAGCACCGGAGAAAACTGAACCGTCAAAGTGGTACGGGAACAATTGGCTCGGCCGATTTCATTGCGGTAGCCGAGCGAACGGCGTCCGATCGGTCCGCGCTGTCGACATCACGTTGTTGTTGACGTCATGAGTAATTCGGTTGCCGTCGGACGGACCGGCAGACCCGATCTATTAGCTGCTACGCTCACCCCGTCCGAGTATTTTTCGCGCGACGACAACATTGTGCGGTAGAGCATAAATAGTACATGTCACACTGCGTGCTGTGATTATCGTCGGGGACGTCCCCAGCGTAATCGGCGACCGGAGGGTTTATTAAGCGTAACAGTAGGTTGGGATTATCGGATTCAGCGGATCACTGTTGGCGCGAAAACCGTAAGGTGACACCCCTGCCCCCGATCGCGGTTTCCGCATACTTACTATGTAACGACATGCTCGTGCAATGTGCCGATGCGAGTCAGCCGAACGCGAAAACGGCACGGCCGGAAGAGGGTGGAAAAAACTACCGGTGTTGG